ACTGAGATATGTTCATAGAAAATAAATTTTAGAACTTGCGAGTTAGAATATATTTAATAAAACTTCTTCCCCTTGTGCCTCCAGCAGATGACAAGTCTTCAGGACTTGGTGACTGGTAATGGACTGTGTTTCTGTTTTCTGTGAAGCTGGTAGTGAGTGACTAAACAGGTAGCGTGATGTAGAAATAGGGTTTATATTCCTATAGCACATTCGCCTTTCTTCAGCCACCTCTCTCCCAGGGATGCTTTCCGGATTTATGTATGATTCTGGATACTTGGACTACTGTGATGGAGTGTAAATCTCATTTGCACTGTATTGTTCTTTTAGCATGTCAGGGTGGTGTCCCTCTTATGGCTCATAAATCTTGTTTTGCATTTCAGTTTTGCTCCCATGTGATTTGCTAATCTAATATTGAACAATATGAGGTATATCTTTTCTGGGTTGAATGAAGGAAAATGATAATTTTGAACTTGGATTTTCCCAATTTAATGTAGCTGTAACTGAATTTGATGAAGTACTTATTTGGACATTGAGGGGAATGGAGACTTAAATACGTAGATCAGGGAGAAAAGGAGCTCTCAGTATTGTCAACACAGATGAAAAAGTGCAAAAATGAATGTGTACATAGTTATGTATTTTATAATTATGAAACAAGGAAATACAGACTAAGGCCATACGACCATTGTGTGCATTTCCTTGTCATGTTTTAACTGAAAAGAATAAGCTGGGCATGGTGGCATACCTGTCACCTAGCACTCAGGCAGAATTATGGAGGCCACGTAGGGCTCATTTTAGGAAAAAAATTCTCAAATGTCACATAACCACCTGCTTAAAAGTGTTTCATAGGGGCCAGGGATTTAGCTCTGCAGCACAAGTGTCTGCCTAGCAAGCATGAGGTCGTGAGTTTGATCCCTGGTGCCCCCTGCCCTCCAAAATAACTATATACGGAGACATTTCCTACTTAACATTTCCTACTACACAAATTGCTTACTGGCTTAACTGGCCATCCGTCATTCATTATTAGTATCTTTACCCAGAAAGCTACAAAACTGATTTTTTTTTTTTTTTTTTTTTTTGTCTTTTTCATTTTTATCGGTACCAGGGATCGAACTCACGACTGCCTGCTTGCAAGGCAGGCGCTTATGCCGCTGAGCTAAATCCCCAGCCCCACAAAACTGATTTTTAATAAAGGAGGGTGGAGTGAAGTGTTGAACTGCACTGGCATCATGGATAAAGTTCGTACCGCATACTCAAAGCAGCGCTTTCCAGGCTCCTGTTCTGCTAGAGCACAGCTACCGCGTCTTCTTACCAGACGGCACAAAACGACTGGCTGTCTTGCGTGTATCAGGGAGGATGTTTTGTCTGTGTCCGGGGTGAGACTACTGTAGAGGCGTGGTGAGCTGTGACGGGCGGAAGTATGAAGACAGCCGCACGTCTGTGTGCTGAAAGTCCTGTCAGCTTGGCCTCCCCTTACTCAGCCTGTGAATTCAGTCTCTCAAGTTACAAGTTTTAAGTGTGGCCTAAGTTTACTTGGTTTTATTGAGAGATTAAGAGTGAGGCGGGCATAGGTCATGCTCAGTGCTCACCTTGGTTGCGTGAATGGAAGGAACTTCTCATAACTGTTCCATAGATTACAGCCACAAACAGAGTATCTTCCAAGGTGAGTGAGTGTGTTATGCTAGTGATACTGAACATGCTGTTTTTGTATCTTAAAAACTCATATCTGAGGATAAATCCAGTGGTAATCTAAATGTTTTATTTGAAATGTTTAAATTTTTTCTTCTAAACTTAACATGTATAAACCACGCCCTGAGCTGTTTGCGCGTCCCTGAGCAGTTAGGATACTGGCAGCCGCCACAAGGCTCCGCCAAGAGGCTGCTGTGCAGCGCACGTGCCTGGGATCTGGCTGGAGAAGACTGACAGCCTTGACCTGTTCTCTCTGCTGGTGGACAAGATTTTTAACACTTCTACCCGACACAGCGGCAGCACTTGACTGAGTTTACGAACATCCATGTCTTCAACATGTGGATGTTTATTTTACAGAGCCATCAGCGTGATCCTGGGTGACAGGTGGAAGAAAATGAAGAATGAGGAGAGGAGGATGTACACGTTAGAAGCAAAGGCTTTGGCTGAAGAACAGAAACGTTTGAATCCCGACTGTTGGAAAAGGAAAAGAACCAACTCCGTATGTTCCGCCGAGGAGTGGGACTGGTCTCGCTTTCCCCTGGGGTGGCCGGCTCCGTGGGGCAGCTCTTGGGGCCTTTAGAGGGTGGTGCGCACGCTGGGCCTCGGACTCGGTCCCTAACAGCCAGCGGCTTGCTGGGCGTCCTGTGAGGAAAGCCAGGGAAGGCCGCCTTGCTCTTCACTGCCAGGCGCCTTTGTCCACATGGCGAGTAGATACTTGAAGCCAGCTTGAAGAGGACATGTTCAGTGTGGAGGCGGGAAGGTTCTCTGGAGTCAGAGCTGCACAGGAACGCCCTCGTGCTCCAGTAGGCCTCTCACTTGGGGCATGTCTCGGCAGCCCGCCGTGGCCCTTCCTCCCACGCCCCACAGTAGTGTGGGGTGGCTGACATTTGTGCAGACTCCAGCTCCATGTCTGAATCCGTAAGAAGAGAGTAGGCCTGGGAAGGTGCTTAACAAAGTTAGACCACAAGCATGCTTCACACAGGCTCAGCTCTAGAATTTTCCATTAGTAGTCACATGTACTTTATGTTTATAATTGCACATCATAAAACAAAATGGGCTCAGTTTGAAATACTCTAAAAGATGATGTCAATAGTTTAACAGGCCTGGTTATGGATATTTTACTGTCATTCTGTATATTCATGCTTGTTTTTACAGGCACATGCAAGTTGTATCTTACATTTTCCAAGAATCTTATAGTAGCCAGCTGTTAGATTAATGAGAAATGTTTGAACTGATTTTGGAAGTCCTTCATTAGTTTAGCATTTTACGTGGCAGGCCTTTACCTGAACCTCTTTTCTCTTCCTCCTGCTTTTCCTCCCCAGCTTCATAAATTTTCTAGATGTTTAAGCCATGTGCTATTAGCAAACTTTAAAATCATTTTTGAGAAAGCAATTTTTTTAAAATGGTAATTTTATAAATATCAGCTAGCTGACCTTTCCTATGTAGAAGCAATATATGTGATTTGTAAGCGTTTACTGAATTTTATTTCCACAGGGCTCACAACAACATTAAACCAGGATGCTACATTAAGTCTGCGGGTGCATAAACCTTGACTCTTGATAGAAAGGCTTAAGAAGATCAAAGTCTCCCTTTTGGTCCTGAATTCGTCTGACCATAAGATACCGACAGCATTGAGTCTTGAAATGATTGAATAATATGAGTGAGGATTTGCTTTCTCCATTAGAGCATTAAGTATGCTAAAACTATCAACATTGTAAACCAAATTGCCTTATTTCCTTCCAACTTTCATATATGTCTATCAGGTAATATAGGCTTGAAAATTGATATCCTGTGGTGCTAAAGTACAGTAGAAAGAGACAAAGTGTATTCATGTTTAAGTTGTACGAAGGGGAATTTAAAGACATGTAACTGCTGTTTATACGTTGGCTCCTTACTGCTTATTAATCTGTATGTGTACATGATGGGAAGCAGCAGAAGCTGGGAGGTGGGCTCTCAGGAGCATCCGCCACATGGCCCAGCATCTGTGCCAAACAGGCCCTGTCAGTCTGGCCAGTGCCAAGAGGCTCACGGCAGGCGGACAGAGAAGTGCCACCTGCCGCTGCGGTGGTTCGTGCCGGCATGCTGAGTGTTTGCACCAGGTGGCAGCAGCAGTCCACCCTTTCCAGTGGAGACAGCCCGGCGGGTGCGGTTGGTTACCAGCTTGGATGTGGTCACTGCAATGGTGCTGTTCACAGTTGACACCTTGTATTAACTCTGTTCCTGCGTCTCCTCAGCCACATGCCTGAAACACATTTCGCCATCTTGTCTTTACGGTGGGGGCCGTCTTTGCACTTCCTGCAGTGCAACACTCGCACTTTACTTTCCTCCAGCTGTCTGAAATTCGAGCAGATACATTGGCAATACAGCTGCTTTTGCTCTGAGCTACAATCATGGCTTTTCGTGTTACTTACCAGGCGGAGTTCTGGGTAGGAATCACAGCTGTAAAATTGGTTCAGTTCATTACACTTCATGATGTTGCCCCTCAATTTTGCACACTATATTCTTGTATATTATTTCAAATAAAATGAAAAAAGTTTATCTCAGACTTCTGATTGATCTCAACTGAATTTATGTACAAGTTATCGGGACAATGGGATCAGGAGATGAAAACAAAGTGAAGTCCTAACATTCAGAAGACATGTTTTGATTGTAAAATTAATGTTAATAATGGGACAAGGGCGTTAGGAAAGCATTGCCTTGATTACTGTTAATCCTTGTTACAAGGCTGCTGAGCAGCCCCCTCCAGAGCCTAAATGAAGCAACAGTATGTAAAGCTTTATTTGAATCTTCATTAAATTGCCATGTAGAGAGCCCTTGGTCCTGTCTCAGCCTTAGGATGCACCAACTTCTGCGATTTCTACTTTGTGGATTTATTTTTAAACCATCAACCTGATTGCTGCCCCCGGATGTGTTAAGCATGCAGCACGGGCCTCGAGTGTCTGAGGCTGGCCCGGGCCAGAGTGGAGGTGGCACAGGCTGCACCGAGGCCCTGTTCGGGACGTAGGCAGCGGTGGATAAAAACCTGTGTGAGGAGGAAGACGCTGGATGTCCTGCAGGGGGGCGGCCCGTAGAGGTTAGAGGGGCGATGATGAACCTATTTTGATATTTCATGCTACAGACACAAAGGGGCACAGGAAAGGTCTATCATGGTTCTAATCTTGGGGAGCAGCCAGCACCATGTGGAGAGCAACAGACTGCGTTGCTACTGAAGAACAGACATCGCCTTCTGAAGCAGCTGAAGCATTATGGGGTACACTGGTGCGAATTCTTTGCCTTCTCTGCTTCTCACGGATTGAACATAAGCTTCCAGGGCTCCCCTGAAAACCAAAATGAAAAAAAATCTGGAAATACAATTTAAAAACTGCAGGGGGTAGCCGTACGAAGGAAATTAGACACATTTCCAGAATTGCTGTGTCCTGTTCTAAAGGGCGAGCGGAGACACCTTCCCACGCTTGGAGGGCGCCCTTGTGGCTATGTGGGTGACCAGTCCATCTCAGACTCGGGGGCCTGGTCGTGCCACAGGCTCTGCCCTGTTCCCTTGCCTATCGCAGATGCTGCACGCAGCCCTTCCCAAGGAGTGCTGGCAGTGGCGGCCGGAGTGTGAGACACTTGACATGTGACAGGCCACCAAGAGCCCCTGTGGGTACCCAGGATGCACGACGACAGGACGCAGTCTGACCGCAGTCAGGGCCTTGTCGTTAGGACCATGCGCCCCGGATTGCTCCCTGTACTGCAGCCGGGGGAAGGCAGAGGCAGATGTCACAGCCCCCGGGCCTCAGTGTGTTTTCCGGGAAAGCCCAGCAGCCCCTGAACCAGGACCACTGTTTTAAGACAGAATGGTTCTAAGGTCATTAACTGTTCATTACGGACCTATTCAGGTGGCAGGTATAGGGACTCATTTTTTAATGATCACTGTTTCCTTCAAAATTTCCCACTGACTAAAGATGCAGGTTAATACTGTTACTCAGCTCACGCACTCTCAGGCGCAGCTGATCCAAAACCCTACCCAGGCCTGATGTGATTTGATTTCGTTGCTCTCAAATATGTGGCTGGCCCGGTCCGAGGCTCCTACTCCCCGGCGCCCCGCATCTTGGGCACATGTGCCCCGCTGGCCACATCTCCCTTCCCAGCCCTGTCCTCCTCCTGGGTGTGTGTATACCCCAGGCATCTCTCACATGGGCTTCCACATGGCCCCTGCCAGCTTGCCGGAGCCCTGGGGAAGTGTTCCGCCCTGCTCTTTCAGCACAGGGCACCAGCTACAGGTCTCTGAGTCTCCTACACCTGCTGCTTCACCAGCTCCACGCCTGCAGTGGACACCCACATGCGTACTCATTCAGCCCTGCCCTCCCTTTGCTGTCTGGTGCCCTGACGACTGCTGTTGCCTCCTGGGTGGTGACTGTCCTGGCTCTGAGGGAATCTCCCACACCTTGCAGCCAGAGATCTCTTCTTGGAGCAAGCATAATGTCACTTGGCAAGTCCTAGTCCCTCCAGGTCAGTGCCCAAAGTCACAACCAGCCGAATGCCAGCAGCTTCATCACTGGCCCTTTCTGGCCTGCTGCTGGCTCTTCGGTGATTTGATGTCTAAGAAGACCAGTTTCCTTTTGCCCTCCGTGACTGTTAGCCCCACTCCACTGCCCACTCAAGCAGAGAGCAGGGTGCTGGTGCGTACTCACACACGCCAGCGCCCTCTCGTGAGGGCCCCTCACTTCCCTCTCCCTGCCGTGCCCTTCCTCGCAGAGAGCCTGTCTGAGGACTCAGCTCCAAGTGTTGGGTAAAGTCTTTCCTAACCAGGATGGGAAGCACCTGGAGCGGCACACGTCTGTGGAAAGGCCTGACTTCTGTGTTAACAGCCTGGCACCATTTTCTGTTCAGGACTCGGGTCCCTCAAATGAGCCATGTGGTGAGACAGACCGTTTCCTAACAAGGAGCCAGTCGATTCCAGACCCAAACTCCACGACCACGTAACTCCCAGCTGGCTGCAAGACGGAATTTCACACTCAGAGAACAATGTTTTGTGGGGCGCAGAGCTGACTCTCCTAGGGAGCAATTTCTCTAGGAAAAACTTGCTGCTTTCAATACTTTCCCAGTTGCTATGCCACTCTGGACAACTGTCCCCACTCCACAAATGTCATCCTTAAGATTCACACACAATAGCAAAAACTTGAGGGCTCAGCCTTTTTTAATGATGGTGTGTGTGTATAAATGTGTTAAGAGTCATAAAAAATTATTCTGTAATGGAATGGTTTACATCCATTCTTGTTTAATATATGGCCAAAAATCAACTTAGTTTCATTTGCATTTTAAAAAGGTAAGTTATTATATATTATTAAAAAGGTAAGTTATTGTATATTATATATTATATGACATATAAAAAAGCTCAAAGGTTTTTTTTTTCCTTTGATTCATCAAAAACACCATCAGAGAGCTATGGAAAGAAAAACAGATTAAGATGCCCTCCTACATAAAATCAGAGCACGATTCTGAAGCATTTATTAAACTACACATGCTTCAGCAAAACACTGGCTTTCCTGGAAGGCAGGCCGCGCATTATGTAAGCATTGGTTGCAACCCTGGTTTGTAACCACAGTTACCACCAACTTTACAGATTACTACTACAGAAATGGTCGTGGTAACATGGCAGTGCTGCTCAAGGTGACATCCACCAGCCAAGTAGAGGACTTGATGGGAAACAAAGTTGATTTGTGTCAGGCATTAATGTTCTGCAGGATTAGTGGTGAAGCACACGGTGACAGACGCCTCGAGCCTCACAAAGCAGTGAGAGCCCAGGTTTCGCCAGGGTCCCACTTTGGTTCCTCAGCACCCAAACCCTGTAAGCACCTGGTGTCTCGGTGACCCCGGTAATAGACACCAAGCACCCCTCTCCACCACAGGGTGCCCGGGTTGTGCGCAATCACCCAGCGTGGAGGGAATGGCGCGTGGCCTGTGCTGCTGGGCAGTGAGGTCAGCAGAGGCCTAAGATGGCAAACAGCACCCAGCATTTTCTGAGAAGCATTGGGCCTGCAGTCCGAGGGCAAGTGTCACCTCGTGCGCTGCTTCTCAGAGGCCCGGAAGAAGCGCCACTGATCTGCCTTGACACCGAGTGCCACAGGATGCAGGCGGAGCAGGTGCTGCCCCCACACCTGGACACATGGCGGAGCCCCTGCGGGGGGGGGGGGACACACACAGGAGATCCCCCCCAGGTTTACGGTGACTCTGACTTAAACTGATCGTTACTCTCTCAAGCTCCAGAAAAGCAGCTGTATCAAAGGAAACAGAGAAAGGCAGGAGTGTCCACTACATGCCATCTATGCAGCAGTGGTCCCCGTTGTCCTACTTTATGCCAGCCCAGGAGACGGAGCTGGAAGAACAGGATGTGTAGATGTGGGATCTGCCCCAGAGGCCAAAATAAACGGACATTTAAAGAGCAACGCTTATCCACAGGGGAAGGACACGCGTCCACGGTGCTTGGCGTGCAGGACACAAGCCGTGCCATACCACTCTGGCTACACATTCCTGACAGTGGCCTCTGACCCACTCAGGGCCAGGCTGCAGTGGGGTGCATCTGGCAGCATCCCAGCTGGCACCAAAGCCCTGGTATCAGCTGTGTGGAGGGATGGGTAGGCTTCCTTAAACAGCACGACAGGATTTCTGAGCATGATTTCATTGCTAAATATAGAACCAGCAACAGCGCCGCTGATGAAATCACTCGGGAGACATTTTTAAAGAGAAGCAAAAGGAAACAGATTTGTGATGCACCAGGCAGGACACCCGTGTGGATGAACGCATCTCACCTTGTGAAGACCACGAGGCCCAGCCCTGCTCAGCTACTTGGGTCCTTGTCAGCTCCTGAGGGGATCTCAGAGACTGCACATCCCGGTGTGGCCCAGGTCCCCTACTGGGCACAGCAGTGGCTTGGCCGGTCACAGAGGAGTGCAGGGCCCTTCCCACCTCAGATACTCAGGAAGCCGGGTCTCAGGAAACCCCAGCCACTCTGGACACCGGCCGAAGGGCTGGGCTAATCTCACTGCTTCTTAACGATTTTCTGGAGCCTCCTGGTGGGCGCTGCCATCATGTTCCACCCCCACCACAGCACTCTGCTGCTCTGCGGAACTGTCTGGGGCTCTGACCGCTCCCAACCCAGAACATGAGGCAGGCGGGTGAGGTTGGGCCGAGCTCTGCCAGCCTGTGATCCAGAAAGGCTGGCTGGGCCGGGGCTGCTGTGTGGGGCTTCCAGAGAAGCCTAGAGCTGCGGACCTTCTAGAGCTTTCCGTGATGGCAGACAGCTGCTGTGGCGTGCCTGCACAGTGTGCCTGCACTGCACCATGGGGGAGAGTGGTGGGAGTCCACCAGACCCGACAGGGTCCTCGTTTGGCTGCTTTGGGGAAAGTAGCCTCTCCAGAAGGCCCGTGTGGAGAGGTGACTCATGGTCAACACTGGGGGCTGGGGAGTCCTCCTGGGGACACGGGACAGCAAGGTTCCCGGCCTGAGGCCCTGTGCTCTCCACAGGTACAGACCCAGGACCAGGGAGTTCCGAGGCGGGTGTGAGCTCACGTGGGACCAGCGGCTGCAGGATGCAGGAAGACGTGGCAAGCACACAAGGGAAATGGAGGCGACCACTGAGCAAACGAGCAGGGATGCCAGGGAAGAAGACAGGGCCGAGCCCACACGCGGACCCGCCCACAGCACCCCCAGCGCCGCTACCCTCCGTGGAGCCTACTACCGGACTCCACGCAGACGCCCACAGAAGCCTAGGAGCCTCAGGCCGGCAGGAGGGCAGCAGGGAGACCGTGGAGGACCCAGCAGGAGGGAGCGCAGTGCGCTGTGGTGTCCCGGGTGCGTGTGCCTGGGTGCATGCACCTGTCCACACACCACTAGAGGACACTGCGACCACAAGGCTGCTCTACGGTCCTTGCCTCCCACTAAGGCCATGTCCCTGCTGGCACTTTAGAGCTCGCCATACCTTGGGGGGTAGGGAGACGTGGGACAGTCACCGGCCTCAGTTTGTGGCCTGGGTCTGAGCTCAGGACAGCCCCACCCCGCCCTGCTGCCCAGCCCCAGCGCCCGCCAGCTCTACCTGATCAGCAGGAGCCGGTCCTTCTCACACGGGTGGTCATCCAGCCATTGGGAGAAGCGCGCGTGTGACCACTCTGCCCTCTGCAGGCGGGGCGAGGACAGGAGAACACGCAGGTCAGCACAGGGGCAGTGGGCAGCTCCCCCTCCTCCCCAAAGGGACCCCGGGCTCAGCAGGCGGCTATGCCGTGCCCTTGTTGCCAGGAAGCCTCCAGGATTGCTAATGTACGGAGCTCGGCAAGAACATGGGACCTCCCTTCGAAAGTTTTGAGGACGCTAGGGCCTAGCAAGACGATTAAAGGGCTCCTCCGGGGCCTCCCGGGCAACTGCAGCCCAGCCGTGCTCACCCGGCTGGCTTGGCCCCACAGGGTTAGGGTCCATACCTGAAAGGGGGACTTCAAGTCGGCGGGCGCCCTGCTGAAGAGAAACTGAAGGATGACGCTGAAGGGGATGATCTCCCCCAGCGCCGGGCTGCTGGCCACGTGTTCACTGGTCTGGAAGAGCAGGGGTCTGCAAGAGGAGAGAGCAGAGGTCACTTGCTGCTGCTCTTCCTGGGCGGGAAACTGCAGGCACACACCACACATGTGCGCGCGCGCGCGCACACACACACACACACACACACACACGCGCGCGTGCACAGGCTGAGGTAGCTCTCAGCCGCTTCCTGGACCATCACTGGGCAATGGGTCTGATGCTACTTCCAGGTTACTTGGCAAAATCTCCTCCTAGAGTTCATCTGATTGCCAGGCTGGAATCAAATAAAGCATGATGAAGGCTTCGGGTATAACTAATAGAGTCTTACTTCCAGCTTTGGTTTTACATACCATCCTTCTTTGGGTGGTTACTGAATATGGATAAAATAAAACATTTTCTAAGCAACTTGCTGCGTTGTCGGCCATTCCATCACAGTCAGCTGACTCCCTCCCTGCACTTCTGGGCCTCACTATTGCAGTCTTACAGGAAGAGCACGCAGGCAAGCCATCTACCACCTTGTACAAAGGGTGGCCAGAAGCCAGCACGGCAGCGCACCCAGCAACTCAGGAGGCTGAAGCAGGAAGACTGCTTAAGGGAAGTTTGAGAGCCACAACACAACCCCACCCCAAAACATTAAAGATCAGCAAGACCAGCAAGAATGGTGTGAAACTATGGTTCACCCCTCAGATGGACGAGAGCTAAGGAGTGTAACAAGCTGAGCCCTGGAGGCTGAATCTGAGGCCCGCAGGCAGCCCTGGCTCCTCCTCCTGTCCTAACTTGACACAGGAGCACCTTCCCATTCGCGGTTCCTGACTGAGGTCCTCCCAGCCAAGGGTGCTCTCAGGACAACTGGTCCTGCTGGAGCTAGAGTATTATTAGAAAAAATGCCTTCGGATTAACTATTCTTCACATACAATCTATCTTTACAGGGGTTTTTCTAATTCAAGTGCTTTATCAAAACATTTTGTGATTTTTTTTCTTTAGTTTTGGGGAAACATCTCCTTTCCATTGACTCTTGCCAGAAGCCAGAAAGGCCCAAGCTCTCTGGCAGTGTGGCTGGGCCTTCTCTGGCCTGGAGGAAGTGCGCACCGCACCTGCCCTGAGGACAGGCAGGCCGCTGGCTGCGCGCCCACTCTGGCCTGAGAAGGCTGTGGAGGCAGCGGGGCCGCACACTACAGCCCCAGGTCGGGCCCGTCTGTGCCTGGCACTGTGTCCCGCTAGGGGAAGCATGATCACAACCAGCAGCAACAGCCTCGGTCACGCATACTGTGCTGCCAGGCACCAGGCCCTGTCTCTCTTACTTTCCCTTGGCTGACCCACAATACTGGACAGGGAGGAAAGGTTGTGGCTCTCAGTTTGAGCAAAACCCCCAAGCCAGAAAGAGGACTAACACACAGCCACGCTCGCCATGGAGTCTACTCTGACTATCCCAGGAAGGTGAGGAATGGCCTCACTTGGCCACATGGCATCCCACAGGTACACAGCTGCATACACCTCCTCAAGGCACAGTTCCTAAGTAGGAAGAGAAAACCAGCAGCAGAGCTCAGCTTCTGAATGTACCAACTCCCAGGTGACTTCCTAAGAAATAGAGGCAATGGTGCTCACTATAAGGGGCACCAGCCCGGGGCAGCACTGAGATATCAGCCCATGACAAGCCCATCTGCAAGGCCGTGCTGGTTGCACCCGGAATCCCAGCGCCAAGAGCACTGGCTCCGGCCCCCTGAAAGGGCGGCCCTGTAGCAGCCCCAGACTAACAGCAAGGCTGTGCCAGGAAGAAGATTCAGGCACGATGCATTCCCACAGGATGCAGGGGCAAAGGAGCCTGACCTGGGGTATGGGCAGTGGTGCCCTGGACAACAGGCCACCTCAGCCACTGCATGCAGCATAGGCTCCAGCCCTGGTCAGATCAGGGTGGCTGCAGGCCCAGCCTCGGCTCAGCTCAGCTTAGGCAGCACCAGCCGATCAGAGATGCTCACAGCGGTCCGTGCCATCAGGGTCACAGGGTCACCCTGATGCATCAGGCCATGCAAAGAGAAGCTGTGATCGAGCCAGAAGCGGCTGCCTCCTCAGATACACAGACACCACTGCGCGGACACAGAGGTCACCAGCAAAAACTAATGAAGCTCCAGTAATGGACCTGAGAGACCCCCCTGACAGTTCAGAACCACCATTCTAAGGAAGTTCAGCAAACTACAAGAATATCCAGATAAAAACTAAATGGAATTTGGGAAACAATACATGAATGAAAGAAGAAAACTGACAAACAGAAACAAAAAATAAATAACACAATGACTGAACTGAAAACTGCAAGAGAAAGCTTCGAACAGCAAACTTGAGCAAACACGTATCACTGAGTGTAAAGACAGAATTTCCCTTGACCCCCTGTGGTTCTCTACACTGAGCCAGATCCCTAGATTTTAAAAAGTTTTGTGTTTTGAGACAAAGTCTCATTAAGTTGCCCTGGCTGGGCTTGACCTTGATAACCTCTTGCCTCAACTTGTAAGAGGACTGAGAGTACAGGCCTGCACCCCCACACCCAGCCCAGAGTATTTTAAATTATCCAATTAGAGGACCAAAAAGGAAAAAGAATGAAAGAGAATGAAAAAAACCCATGAGAATGATGAAAATCAACAAAAGAATTAAGAATTTTGGCCCAGAGATACAGCTTAGTGCCACAGTGTCTGCCTGGCAAGCATAAGGTCATGAGTTTGAGTCCCAGTACAAGGAAAAAAAAGAATTTAAAAAAACACACTTACAGAAACAGTGACTGAAAATTTCCCAAATCTGGGGTCTAATGACACCAACGTCCAGGTACAGAAAGCAAAGAGGTCTCCAAGCCCAAAGAACAGTTCATCAAATCACATGATCGTCAAACGATCTAAATTCAAAAACGAAGAGTTTTGGGCAACAAGAGGTAAGAAATAAATGCACCACACACAAGCGAGCCAGGAGGGCCAGCAGTGGAAGTGCTTTCAGGCTAAGAAGCTCTTCCCTTCTTTCTGATGATGACAATTAGACAATTAGCTGATTCTTGTCTCTCTTTCATTTTTGTCACCAGGAAATTCAAAGCCAAATCTGAAACTTACCAAATTAAGTTAGCTTTATGGTTTTAGTTTTCCTGATGTTTGTGATTTTATTTCCCTTCAGTATATTTTTCATGTAAATTGTGCATGATACCAGGACAGGACAAGAAGTGGGCGGAGCCCGTGAGTGAGAAGCTGCTGGAACACAGGGCACTCTGGGTGCAGGCTGTGGTATGGGCCCGGGGGGAGGGAAAGGTCCTGTTTAACTTGGGGTCTTTCTGACAATCATGACCTCTACAGAGCTCTTAGTCACAGAAACTATTTTTCTGACAAGATCAAGTCTTCCATAGCAGCCACCAGAACTGCCAATGGTCTTGAACCTGTATCACGCATCCCTGACATAATAACCTGCAAACGTCACGTGCAGGCATCTCATTTCTGCTGCTTGTTTTAAGGGGCTGAAAGAACACAGCATGAGCCCTCCTTTTTCCTGATTCCAGGTGGGACTGGAAACACCAGCAAGCTAAAAAAGTAAATCTCCCTCTGAAGCACTTATGAAACCAAATTAATTAAGGTGTTATAAAAAGCAGCCATCTCAAATGTCACAATGTCATTCTTAGAGAACACTGTTCTATATACAGCAGTGCTTTCAAGGTTAAACTTACAGCAGAGGGTAGCGCTACTCAGCGGAGCACGAGGTCCCTGAGGAACAACTGCCCCTCCCAGACTGGAGCCTGAGGACTGCGTCGCTGTCAGCTGGAGAAGGCCAATCAGGAAGTGAGTCAGCCCGAAGTCCTGCTGCTCCTGTGTCCACCCCGACATGCCGCCTGCCACTGTAGGCAGACCTCCTGGATCTTAGCGAGGTGCACTGAAATCCAGGGCCAGCCCTGCTATGAAAGGATGGAGGACAGGCCAAGGAGGGCCTTGACAAAAGAGTAAGTGCTGGAGGTCAGCAGGAGATGAGGGCCCCAGGAGGCTAGGTGAGGGATCCAAAAACCACGCGGACGGGCCCTAAAAGAGAGTGTCATAGCTATCGATTGTGTGGCGTGAATAAGGCTCAGTGTGGAGTAGTTACAATGGGTTCTCCTCGGGGTCTCACTGGAGGATCCAGAAGACCAGTGGGAGAAAAGGCAGGACTTTCAGGCGGATGCCCTGCGACAACGCAGGTAAACATTCGGCTGAATGTTCCTGGGGCCCCGAGAGGCTGCGTGTAACAGAGGACAAGGAGATAAAACAAACATGGTAGCAGGCTGTTGACACCAGACTCCCTTTTCTGGTATCTTCCTGGATGTCACATATGAACATTCAAAACCAAACAGGAATGAGATGGAGGGCAGTGGTCATAGGCTGCAGCACAGGCCACTGACAGCTCTGAGCACCAAGCACCTCACATAGTCCCACCCAGCCTACGCATGCCGTGAGGGCTAAAGAGGGGCATTCAGCCAGACACCCGGCACAGGCCAGGTGCAGGTCAATGGTCCACTGAGGGTTGCTCAAAACAACACAACTTGCCCATCCTTCTGTTCTAACTGACTCTGTTTTGTTTAGTCATGTTTGATTTTATTCTCTTCAAAAAAAATAAAAAGTAATAAGAACTGCGGGAGTAATAAAACCCAAAAAGTGTAATTGCTATTGTAAAAAAGAGAGGAAAAGAAAGTGGTCTAAAGGATATAACTGCATGTATATTTAAGTGTGTAGGATAGAAAACCGTATTACTGAGCTTTGCTGGATCATTGAATAGAACTCTCTGCAATCTCACTGTATGAATGTCCACTGTATATGCTTTAATTTTATAATTTGGACAACTGTTTCTAAGATGAAATATGTAACCTACTAACTAGTGATTTCTTACTGTATATTTTTTTTCTTGAAATTCTGTATTACTTGTACCCTTTTACTGCTTCGGTTTGTTTTTTCTTTAAATAAAAAAAAAATTAAAAAAAAAAAAACGCAACTGCTGATGCACTAAATATTCAGCCCTCTGCATTTACCTAGGTACTCCTGCATTCCACAGTGCCAGCAGGCACCAAGGCAAGCCGAATGGGAGAAGGTGGCGGGCGGAACCCAGCTTGGAGCTAGGAATCCTGGAATCTCTGGGAAACGGTTATTTCAGAGCATGCAGCAAGGGGCTCAGGACACAAGCAGGGAGACGGGACAGAATGAATTTGTGGTCTTCACCTTAGACGTGCACAAGGGGAAAGATGGCCTCCTTGCAGGGCTACGGAAACTTAGGCAGGGAAGCCTGGATTTCCAGCAGCATCTGGATCATCCAGGAACAGAGGACCTGGAGAGCCCCTGCCATGTCCTCAGTGAAAAGCAGCTGTTCTCAGCTCCTGAGGGCTCTCTCCTTCTACCACCATCGAGATGAGACCCATGGGACAC